GCGCTCAGGTGAAAGCCCTGTCCTTCCCCAGAGCACTTTGCTGGCATTTGCCCTAGCAAAGCTGGAGGGCTAGAGGGGCTGAACCTGTCTGGGTTGGCAGCAGCTCAGCTCTGCGGCCAATGTTGAAGTTCAGTCCTTGTTCCCATTCTCCATGCTCAGCCTCTTGCAGCTGATGGGAGACTTGCAGCAGCTCGTCGCCAAGGAAAGGCTCCGTGCGAGATCCGTGTGCCTCACGTCCTGGAGGAAGCTCAACCCTCCGCCCTCAGCCTACAGCAGGAAATGGTTACCTCTCAGCTCAGTTCCTGTCCTCGTTTGCGGTTCCTCCAAGTTGGATTGCCTCTTATAATGCCTTTTCTGAGCTGGTTGTACAGGGATGCTCTTGCTCAGCTTTTCCAACAACCTTATCTCACTCTTGGCCTTTCTGTGCCTGGGCTGTGTCTTGTCTGCAGCTGAGGCTGGTTGGTGGCATGAAAGGAGGCAGAAGAGGAGGCTGCAGTTTGGACCAGATGCTGAGCTAACAAGGAGAGAGCTCTTCTCTGGGTTTCAGGTGGGTCCTTCTCTCCTTCCTCTGCAAAGAAGCCTCAGGAGCTGCGGCCCTCTACCACGTATGTTTAAAGGCCTGACTTTAATGGAGAATAAGAGGGCCTGGCCCCAGGCTCCATGCAAGTCCCTGCATGCACAGAGGAACAGCTGCTTGAACACACTTCTTTAGCTCATGCTCATGTCTGACCTCGCCATGTGGAGAGCAGAAGTAAAAGTTAGAGCAGGGCTGGTATCTGTGTCGTGCAATCCAGCCTGATGGGGAGCTGCTCCTGGGAGCAAAAGAGATTTGGGGCAGCTGCTATTTCAGGAATGAGGAAACGAAGGGTGGCTCCAAAGACACCCCTGTCTGACGCTGAGCGTGAGACCTGAGCACAAGGCTCATGCAAAGGGCTGGTCCTATACTGGCCTGCCAGGTGCACTGGGGTACTGCTGCTCTAGTGCAGGGAAGCAGCCGCATGGTGAGGCCTGGCCTAGGCTCCTTGACATGAGGGATGGAAGGTCCATCAGATCTTGCTTTTCTGCGCTGGGAGTTCTGGCCTCCTCCAGGAGAAGAGGGGCTTTGGTCTTCAGTCTCAGCAGGGCAGTGTCGGTGGCTGCAGTTGCTGGCCCATGCCTCAGTTTGCTAGTTGCTGCCTCTTGAAGGACAGCTCTCTTGGAGTGCAGGAAATGTATGGGCTTGGCAGGCAGCCACCCATCACATTGCATCAGTTCATGACAGGGAATGTAAAACCATTTCAAAGCACCTGTGCTGGGAGCAGAGGGAGGCAGCACATAGCCTCCATGTGCCCTGCCCCACACCATCTGTTTGAGGAGCGCTACACAGCCCGGGAGCACTCATTTCCCAATTGCTGCCAGGAGCTAGCTGGTCATTCACTAGATCTTGGCCCTTACCCTGCTCCTAGTCAAGCCTCTGCAGAACAGGGGAGGAGCAGACACCAGTTCTTCATGTCAGATAGAGATCTGGTGCCTCTGGGCATCAGAGAGCATCGTGGCTTCTTGGCACATTGGTGGGGTGAGGGGTCTTGGGCAAGGAGGTGCTGAGCACCGTCAGGAGGTGCTCATGACAGCATGCAGGGCATGGTTCTGGATGAGCCCCAGGAGACTGGAGGAGTTGGGAGCATTTTTGGATGTATCAGCCATCATGCATCATGCTGAGCACGTGGAGGGCAAGACCGGGTGCGCTGTGGATGTGGTTGGTGCTCTCCAACTTCCCAGGTAGCTTTGAGAGTCACGTCTTCCTCTCTGTGGCCTGAGCAATACAGGGCACATGCCATTCAGGCTCCAGGCAGGGCTGGGCTGGCACGCCTTGGAGGCTGTCATCTGGCAGAGCCTCAGGGCAAGCCCTGGAGTTCAAAGGTTTTTTTTTTTTTTTTATCTATTTCCTTCTAGAGTTTAATCCCTCCTGGACTTTGGGCTGTGGTGGAGATGGAGGAGACGCCGTCAGGACCTTGCCGCGAGCTGCTGTGAGGCAGCAGGAGCTGGCGTGACCCTGCAGGATGGACCCTGCTCCGTGGCTCCAGCAGGCAACGATGTCTGCGGGAGGAGAAGCGACGTGCCAGCCTGACCTACGTGTTCTCTCTCCTGTCTCCCAGGTGTGTGAGGGGCCTCTCCCTTGGCATGGGGTGGCAGAAGGGGGCTGTTCGGAGCCGTGTCCCTGTAACCTCTGAGATGGGACTGGGGTAGGGGGCAGGGCAAGAAGGGCAGGTTCAAGGCTTTCCTTGAAACTTTAGGGGATATTCCTGCTTTTTACTATCAAAGTAACTGTAGTCATTTTTCATTGCACTTCTTTCCTAAATAGAAGTATTTGGGAAGAGCTGTGCGGTCAAAGAGCTGAGAGCCCCGAGCAGAACGTGCAGATGGGGTGATGGGTGAGCACTCGCCCTGTGCTAGCTTCCAGGCAAGGCTGGTCATGACCTGGCAGGAGCTGTCAGTCCTTCACAGGGGTCAGACATGGGATGAGTGTCCCAGGACAAGCTCTGGGGCTATTCAGGCTGCATGACTGTTTGCATGTGTGCACACAGGATTCATTTCACCTGCCCTTGAATTACAGCTGTCTCTGGGACAGAGTGGAGAAGTGCCACAGGGAGGCCCAGAACTGCATGCCTTCATTTTCAATGTAGCTGTCCCAAGAGTTCCCCTCCCCTCTCCTTCTCCTTCTCCACCTAGCTCCCACTGTGCTTTGTCCTGCTAGGCACCTGCCATGGCATCACCATTCCAGGTGGAGGAGCTGCGGGACCTGGACGAGGAGCGGCTTTGGGAGATGCTGGAGGACCACCGCTACCAGCTCGTGCATACCATCTTCCCAAACCGTCTCACCCCCTACCTGCGCCAGGCCAAGGTGCTGGACCAGCTGGATGAGGAGGAGATTCTGCACAGCCCCCAGTTCACCAACAGCGCTATGAAAGTGGGTGAGTGGGAGACAGGGGCTCCTCCCTGCCCAACCCCCTGCCCTCCACCGTTGTCACTCAGACCTGCTGCAAGTGAGGCAGTTGGTGCATGAAGGGCTGAACTTGTCCATACTTGATCCGCTGGCAGTGCAAGCCCAGTCCTCCCCGTTCCATATGTCAATGGTGCTAAGTGCCAAGGTCTGCACAGTCCCCTCTGCCCTCAGGAACACAGTGGGACCCCTGCCTATCATTGTCTGTACCTACTGCGGCACTGCTGAAGGGCACTGTCCTCTGCCCTGCAGGCGGTATTGGTGCTGCTGGGGGGCTCCTGCTCCCCTGCACTGGCTGGGTCCTCCATTCCTGGGCCAGGCTCGGGGAGGCATCACCTCCTCTGCTGGGCTGTTTGATGCATCTAGGTACTGATGCCCACAAAGGTTTTGGGAGGAATCTGCCCTGTGCAGCCAACTGAGCCCATCCATCTCTCCTGTGTAGAGCTGAGCCAGGGAGCAAGGGATGAAGCCCTGCAGAGTTTGTGTGCTGCAGCTAGAGGCAGCCCCTGGAGCTGGGATTGCACCCTCCCAGAATGTGTGTCCTTAGCCTGCCCTGGTATCCTGGGCTGTTGGGAATCTGCATTCTTCTGCTCTGTCTTAGGTCACATGCTGGATCTCCTGAAAAGTCGTGGGAAGAATGGGGCTCTAGCTTTCCTGGAGAGCCTGAAATTTCACAACCCAGACACCTACACCCTGATCACTGGCCTGGAGTCCTCCATAGACCTCCACAGCTTCAGTGGTGAGATCCTCCAATGCCAGGCAGGCAGCTCCCACAGCTGCTAGCACTATGGCTGGGTTGTGGAGGGACAGGGGTATCCCCATACCACGCAGCCAGGATCCACACAACAACCCTGTATGAGCACTGTATGAGCTTCTCTGCAGGAGTGCATCTCTCTGTTAGATGCTGGACAGTGGTGGGTCTGATGGGGCTGAGCTTGGCCCTGCACCAACCTAAACACACCCTGCCTTAGCATTTACAGATGGGAGCCTTGTCTGTGTCACCTCCCTTGTGCGGGGGGAAGATATGTGCAGGGAGGTGATATCCCCAGGGGAATGGTGGAGCTGTGGCCTGTGGGATGGTGATAAAGTGGCCTGAGCCATGGCCTGCTGGGGGCTCAGTGCCTGTTGGAGATAGCTGAAATGTTTCTGCTTGAGGGCTGCCAGCAGGGCACAGTCCTGAGCTGAGCTTTCCTCTCCAGGTCTCATTGAGAGCTCCAAGCTGACAGAGTGCCTGGCTAAGGCTGTGAACAGCTTGCAGGAGGAGCTGAACCAGGAGAAAAGGCAGCGGGTGGCTCTGCTGCATCACTGCAGCCAGCTCAAGGAAAGTGTGACCCGGCTGGAGGCCCAGAACAGAAGCTTGACAGGCATCCAGGCTGAGTATGACTGCATGAAGAGGGAGGTTAGCACCCACTTTAATGAGGGGCTGAAGCTGAAGGATGAGATGTACAACCTCTCCATGCACTACACCAATGCTCTGAAGGAGAAGGACCTGGCCATCACGCGGTGCCAAGCCCTGCAGGAGGAGGTAGCTGGCATCTTGCATTGCTCAGCCTGTTGCACCAACATGCGGTGGTTGCTGGCTGTGTTGAGCTACTTGCCCCACACCTGGGAGCTCCCTGGCTCACCCATCCTCTTGCCATCAGAGCTTGTGGCTGTAATCTCCTCCTGCAAACACCTCGCTGGCAGGAACTCTCTCTTTTCCCTGCCCTGCAGTGTGCTGCCTGAGACCCTGTGAGGCCAGAACTCCCCTCTGCCCCACATAAATGTGTGGTTGGGCTCTGGAGGGCAGCTGGTAAAACCAAAGCTGCTGATCTGCTGATGGGCAGGGGGAGCGTGGTCAGTGGGTGACTTCCCTGTGCTCCTGGACTAGCCACGTTCTTTTATGGGAGCCTTGCTGGCCTTTGGGACACGAACGCAGAATGAAGCTGGGTGGGAGAGAGGGCTGTGAGGGACATCAGCTCTCCTCAGCCCACTTCCAAGTGACTTTTCAACCAGTTTGTGAAGCTGCGTTCTGTTGAGCAAGTCAGCCCAGATGTGAGTGCTGACATCTCTGTAAGCAGCACTGATGAAAAGCTCAGGAAAATGGGCTAAAAGTACTGGCTCCGAATAGGTTTTCCTCCTCATTATTGTTTTACGAAACTGCAGAGGAGGTGACCAGGTGGGGAAAGGCCAAAAGCCCTGTTTCAGGGGCTGTGCGAGGCTGTGCCACAGGAGTGGGGAACATCCAGTGAATGATGACGGGCCTGCGGCACAGACTGGATTCTTAGTCCGCAGTCGATGCATAGTGCAGCCAGCAGCAGCTGATGGCTGCCTGCATGGCCTGTCCTCTGGCAGCTGTACCTGATGAAGCAGGAGCTGGAGCGAGCCAAGGAGGTGTTGCGCTGTGAGAGGGAGAGGTCTCAGAGAGGCCCTGGTGACCTGCAGCCCCAGGCAGATGAGTTGCTGATGCTGAAGGAGGAAAATGAGAAGCTCAAGTCACTGATGGAGCTGGAGACGTTCAGCCTGGTGAGACACCCTCTGCCCCGCTGGCCCTGCTCCCCGCTGGGATCGGGCTCCAAGGTGGAGAAGTAGCGGGCCATGCTTGGGCTCCATGCGGGGTCTGGCCCCTGCACTGGCTGGCCTGTTTCTCTGGCAGGTGGAGAAGGACATCTTGGAGCAGCACCTGGACGAGGCTCTGGAGGGCAAACAGGAGCTGCTGGACCGCATCCACTCCCTGCGGGAGAGGGCAGCCATGGCTGAGAGTCAGCATAAGCAGGTGAGAGCCCCTGAGGTGCCCTGTTGCGGGACAGGCAGCAGCGGGTCGCAGCTGTGCTTTGGGGGGCTGAGCAGCCGGATAGCTCTCTGTGCTTCCCCACAGTGTCGGGAGGAGAAGGAGCACATGCTGATTGAGTGCCAGAAGGTGAAGGTGGACTGCGAGATCTACAAGGAGAAGATCTGTTCCTTCCAGGCACAGGTGGCCGAGCTGCAGAAGGAGCGAGACCAGGTAGCGGGGAGGGAGTGGGCGCTGCAGTGCAAGTCGCCTGCATCCAGCAGTTCTTGCATCATCCTTCCTGACAGCTGTCCCTCTTCCCTGGGCCTCTATGGCTTGGTCTTGATTGTACCAAGTTTGTCCCTGCCTAGGCGTACAGTGCTCGGGATGCTGCCCATGTTGAGATCTCCCAGAACCTGCTGGAAAAGGACTCGCTTCGCCAGAAGGTGTTTGAGCTTACGGATGAGATCTGTGAGCTGAGGAAGCAGGTGAGAGCCCTGGGCAGAGCAGAGCAGTGCCGGCAGCAGATGAGGCTAAGGGGCTGGGGCCAGGGGTGGTGGTGCTGGGGGTCTCCCAGGGCTAGAAAATTCTCTGGAGTGTGCTCGAGGGATGCTTTGCCCACCCCAGAGCCTCAGTTAACAGGACCTGAAGGCAGTCGGAGTGGGGTGCAAGTGTGCTCAGCACCCATGTGCTCTACAGAGGCACAGTGCTCTCTCCACAGTATCCACTCTTGCTTATTGCTTGCTTGGCAGGTGAGAGGGGATGGAGAGGCTGACCTGGAGCCCAGGGAGGAGGGGCAGAAGAGGAAGCAGAGGCTGGTGAGGATGCATGCCATCTGTCCCATGGATGAGAGCCAGGGCAGCTCCTTCAGCACATCGGAGGTATGGTGGTCCAGCCTGGCCTTCCTCCCACACCCATCCCCACCCTGCTTGGAGAGTCCCTAGAGCTTCCTGTGCAGTGGAGGTGAAGGAAAAGGACCTGGCAGGGGTGAGGCAGGTTTTCCTGGCTATTGGCCATGTAATGCTGGTGTATAGAGGGGAAGGTTTATTATGGCTCTCCTCTTGGCAGCTCTGGTGTGATTTGGGCATGAAGGTGAGCTGTGACTCAGTGGAGAGTTTCCAGTCATGCAGCCCCATCCCACCCTGCAAGAACTCTCTGCAGAAGCGAGCTATGGGGGATTACCTGGAGAGCATCACGTCTGGGAGGTAACTCTGTTCCAGAGCTCTCTTGCTGGGTCACCTTCTGCAGAGCAGGGCAGTTGCAGTGTCCCTGAGATGCTCGTATATCCCCTGTCCAGTCCCATGAGACATGAAGCATGGCAGGACCTGGGACTGCCCATGCTGCAGGACCTAGAAACCATAGTACTGCCTAGAGGTTTCTTAGGCTCACTTTGCTGGGGATACGTCTCAGTCCAGAGGTGACATGCAGGTATGCCCCCAGGCAGCTAGGTGATGCAGGAGAGGCATTTCCCTGCTCAGTCTGTGCTGAACTGCATCATTCCATTTCTCATTTTTCTGGAGCAGCTCCCAGGAGTTCCCAGAGGTGGACATCAGTCTGGGCCTAGCGGAGGTGGAAGAACCCACGCTGGAGTGTGCCATGCGTGAGAAGGATGGTGGGTTTCTCCATTCCCTGTTCGGAGAAGCCTGTCACTTGCCTGGCCTTCATGTTTGCCCCAGACTGTCCCTGGGGCCTGTGTGTTTCCTGGCTCCCTGCTTTGTGGCCCCCTCTCCCCTCCTGACACAGCAGGCATGCAGCGGACTGGTGGGGATACTGCGATCCCAGGCTGGCAGCATAAGTCTGGAGTGGGGCCTGCCAGCCTCATACTGCCAGCACACGGCATTGGGGAAACAGTGCTAGGGTCCTGGGGTTGTATTTGCACCTGGTGTGATGGATGGATGAAATCTGGACCTGCCACCAGTTGTGCACTGGTCTTGCCCACCACTTTCCCTCCCCACAGTGGAGATGGGTCACTTGCTTGTGCAGAGGCGCTGGGGAGGTGGCTGCCTGCTGCCCAGGGCTCCCTGAAACCTCCTTTCCTGTAACCTCCATTGGCAAAGGTGTCCTTTCTTCCAGGTGGCTGCTCCCCACTGCTGGGCTCAGACCCTTCTGCCTCGGATAGGTACGTCATGCTCTGCTAACCTCGGACCTGCAGGTGCTGTGGGGTGCCCAGGGCTCCGTGGCATTGCGCCATAGCAGTGGGCGGAAAGGGGAGGAGAGTTTGCAGAGTGCTTGGTGCTGCTTCCACACTGACAAGCTGCTTCCCTCACAGCTCACCCATGCGTCGTCGGCCAGCTCAGCGGATCCTCAGTCGCATCACTACCATCGCCTTCGAAGGCAATGCCTTGCTGGAGCAGATCAGCATAATTGGGGGGAACCAGACTGGCATCTTTATCCACAAGGTCACCCCCGGCTCAGCTGCTGACGAGGTGTCCTTGTCCCCGGGGAACCAGATCATGGTGGTAAGGGCTCAAGCCCTTCCTACTCTCCCTTCTTGTGGCCAGCCCCCAGGTCCCCTGCACCAAAGTGCAGGCAGTGCCCAGAACAAGTGTCCCACCAGGGCTCACTTGGATGTGGTGCCCTCAAGCATTGTCCAGGTGGAGACCCTTCCTCCAGCAGTCCCTGCTCTGCCATTGTGCTCTGTCTGACCCCCAGGTGGATTATGATGTCCTGGACCCTGATTTCAAAGCTGTCCTGGAGGATGTGACCCTGGAGGAAGCACTCTGGGTCCTAAAGAGAGTGAACGGCTTCTGCTGTCTATCAGTCAGACCCAACATGGAGGGTAAGGCCTTCTCTCTACCCTGCTGCCCTTGGCTCAGACCCCAGGGACATGTCTCCTACCAGGTTACGCTGGGGAGGACAGGAGCTTTGCTCCCTGAGACTTGGCCTGTGCCTGATAGATAGCTCTGCTGCTTTCACAACCCTTACCTGACGGGCGATAGTTGCAGCTTTCCTGGCAACAGCTGTGTCGCCCCTTCCCCTCTGCCCAAACAGCTCCAGCTGCATTCCCGGCCAGACAGCACCCCCATGGTCCCTTCCCACTCCCACCTGCATCCAGCTCCCTGGCACCTCCCCGTTTCCCACCCAGGGTACAACAAGCTGGTGAGTGACCTGGAGAACAAGGTGGCAACCTCAGGCGACTCATTCTACATCCGAGCCAACTTGGCCATAGAATGGCAAGGTGGAGGGCACCTACCCGTGCAATGCAACGACATCCTGCACGTCACAGACACGGTGTTTCAGGGCAGGAGCCAGTGGCATGCCTGCCAGGTGAACCCCTACAACATGAAGGACATGGACACCGGCATCATCCCCAACTACTACCAGTGAGTCCCAGTATAGCAGTCCCAGAGCAGAGCATAGTCCTGTCTCTGGGCGCTGCTGCCCAGGCTGTCGTCTCAGTCCAGCATAGCTGTAGCAGAGGGCTGACTTGGCCCTGCATGGTCAGGATACCAGGAACAGATGGGGGCAATGTGAGGAGCTCCTCACGGCAGGCTGGGCATTGTTTTCAGCAGGTCTTCATGGTCATGCCATGGCATTGCCATGCGAAAGTTTTCTTCCTCTCTTCCCTTCTCTGCATGCCAGGACAGCTGTGGCCTACAAGGCATTTCTGTAGCCGGACCTGTATGGCTGCAGTAGGATGGGTATGGAGACAGCCCCCTCTCATGTTTCCAATGCCACTTTCTAATACAATTAAACTCCTGCTGCTCTCTGTCTGCAGGGCCCAGCAGCTGCTTATTGCCCTGATCCGGGATATGACCCAACTGACCACGATGGCACGCAAGGTAAGGCAGCCTGGGCCTGCAGAGAGAGGAGTGGGACACTCCCGTCCCTGTCACAGGGAAAGGGCAGGTGGATGCCACCTGGAGAGCTGAGTGCCTGCAGCTGCTGTGAGGCACCCACGGAGCAGATCCATAAAGTGCTGGCTCCAGGGCTACATGTCCTGTGCTGCAACTCAGATACTTCTCTCACCTGCAGCCTTCTGGAGGGCAGCAGAAGCTGGTGCGAGTAGTCAGCACAGAAAAGAGCAAGATCAACCCTCTCTGGTCATCCATCAACTACAGCTCTGGTGGTCCTGACAACCGTGAGGGTGTGTGCACTAGCCAGGGTGGCTGGTGATCCAGATACAGCCCAGACGCCCTGAGCACTGGAAGGGAGCCCAAGGCAGATCCCCTGTAACAGCGTCAGGCTGCTGGGGTGGTACCAGGCTCCCCTGCAGCGTCTTGGGGGGTGCTCAGCTCATTGCTGTGGTGCCCAAGTCAGGCTCAGGTGAGTCTCGCCTAAGGGTCTTGCTCTCCTCTTTGTGCCTGCACAGCTGGCTCCAGCACCCAGGGAGGCGGCTGCTTCACCCTGATGCCCTACACCCTCGTGCGGCCCCACCAGCCAGGCCAGCTGCGTCCCGTCCTCCTTGTGCCCACGCTACTGGGGCGGATCCTGGCCAGCAAGCTGTGCCTCAGCAAGGGCTTTGAGATGTGCCCATCAGGTACAGTGCTGGCATGTTCTCCTGACACGGGGCTGTGCTCATGGGCAGATGAGTATGGTGGGACAGGGATCCTGCTGAAAGGCAGACACGTGCTCTGCTGGCCCCGGCCTCACTGCTGGGGCTCTGGCCACGCTGGGCTCTGGCCTTGCAATCTACTGGTGTTCAGTTTGTCGCCCAGATGCCTTCACGGTGGCAAAGCAAGTTTCAGGGCTGCTGTGCTGGGAGAGTCACTGGTTCCTCGCTCCCTTCTGTCCCAGAGTTGCAGGGAGAAGCCAGCCAAGCTGCCCAGCGCAGAGCTGCCCTCCTGGGGACAGACAGACTGCACAGCCGCTGCATGGTCACTTGCCGGGTGCTGGAGGCACTGGCAGAGAAGGTAGTGGGGGTATGGTGGGGGCAGTGGAGAAGCAGGACAGAAATTGCCCCTTTGGCTTGGAGTATCCCAGAGTGCTAGAACAGGGAGGAACTGTGGGGACAGTGTGTGCACGCACAGGACGGTGCCTGTGCTGCAGGGCTGCGAGGGAGGGGGATAGAAAGGCCCAGACAGAGCTGAGGGGGAGGGGGGGAGGTATCTGCCTCTCATTGCATGAGGACAGGCCATGCAGGCAGAGCACTGAAACCAGGCGCCCATCCATGCTGGCCACCCCTCCATGCAGATGCCAGCACCTGCAGCCCCTGGGGTGCTGCGTGGGAGCAGAGGGAGGGAATGGGTACGTGCAGCTCTTTCTCAGGAGTCCCTGCAGCCCTCGCCTAGGGGTACCCTAGGAGCTCATCCCTGTCCTGGCTGGCTCTGTGCGAGGGCTGCTCCTCACCCTGCACAGGGCTGAGCCTCCCTCTGTGTCTCTCCCTGGCTCCTGAAGAATGTGCATGGCCTGCTGGACATGGGACTGGAGTGTGTGCGGACCCTGCACACCATGGAGATGTATCCCATCCTCCTCCTCCTCTCCATCACAGAGAAGAATGCCAAGAAGCTCAAGTAGGTAGCAGCCCTTGGGGAGGAGCTGGCCTCCAGTGGCTGAGGCCTGACAGTGTCCTGCAGCTGGCACTGAGGATGGGGGTCCATCCATTCCCGAGCAGCACTGCTAGGATGGGCTTGAGCAAAGCTACCCAAGTCATTAGCCTTCATAGTCCATGCAGGCAGCAGAATGGGGAGACTTATGGTGTCACTGGGCTCCTCTGCAGATGGTTATGAGGGAAGTGGATGTCTTAGACAGCAGTATAACAGGCTCAGAGTAACAGCAAGGATATTAACTGTCCTGGATTAAGCCTCATCCTTCAGTCAGGGGACACCTTGAGCTCTGAAGGATCAGGTGAAAAGCCTTGCCCAAACTTTTGTTATCGTTATGGAAACTCTGGACATCTTGTTGCTGTAGAAATGTCTAATTTGAACTTTTCTGATTTTGACATGCCTGCAAGGCCTCAAAGTGGCTCAGGCATGAGCTCACTGGCAGGGTCACGGATTCCTGTGTCCCTTCAGGAGAAGGAGCCCAGGAGTCCTGCAGCTGCCCCTGCCATCTCCATCATGGACCCGGTGAACTCCCAGCCCCCAGAGCCTCGCCTCACTGCTGCCCCAGTGTGCCAGCGAGGCCGGCGGGGGGCTGTGCAGTTTCCTGCTGTTTTTCAGAAAGGCCCTGCAGCGCCATGGAGCCACAGAGGAGCAGCTGCTGGATGGCGCGCGGAGCGAGGAGGCTCAGCTGGACAAGCTGCCCTGCCTGTACAGCACCATCGCACCCGAGAGCTGGAGCGACCTGGACTCGCTCCTGGGCTGTGTCCGAGCAGCCGTTGCTGATGAGCAAAGGAAGACGGTGTGGATAGCCCAGGACCCGTGCTGAGCCCTGGAGAGGGCTCCGATTTCAGCAAGGATCCTGGGCTGGGTGCAAGGACTGGATGAAGCAAGAGGGTCTCTGCAGCCCTCTGTACATGACCTGCTAACAACCAAGCTAATGCCCAACCTCGCTGCAGCCTGGCCCCCATTAGCAAGGGCCTACCAGTGACTATTCATTTGGGATGGTTTCTGTCTCCTTCCTTGTGTGAGTGGCTGCTAGCTGGCACAGGCCAGGTCAACCATAAGCTGGAAGTGCCTGCTCTGATGGCCTCCTCAGAGACCAGGGTGCGGGTGCTGCTGGAGCTACAGCCCCGCTGCCTGCTCCTGGGGCCCTTCTGCCAGCGCTGGGCCAGCCCTGGGCCCCTCCCTGGAGCTGGCCCAGCTGCGCCTTGTTGTACCAGGTATCCCAGCCTGGTTCACAGTCCTCTGCAGTCCTCAGGCATGCACACTTCAGAAACTCTGTACGTTTTGTATATTTTGCTAAATTAAATCATATTGGTACTGCATGTTGCTGCATGCTTGCTGGTACCTGCTGGCCCCAGATCGCCTGTTTCACCAAGGACGAGCCGGTGCAGAGCTGTCCCCATGCAGAGGGGTTCACATCTGGTGGTGCTCTTCAGAGATGGCAAAGTGGAGCGCTGTAGTGGAGAAATGGATCTGTCAGGAAAATGCTAAACTCCAGGTAAAAGCTGAGACATTCTCCTCCAGTAGCTTTATTGAGAAGTGATTTTACCATTACATTTCTCCTGGCTGGGAATACAGCCAAGGCCCCAGGACAGAGGATCTCTCTCCAGGGCTCCAGGGATAGCCCGTTTTGTGATACAGAAAGCACAGCCTGGGGTGCGACACAGGAATTTGGGACTAGCCCGTTTGGGTTTCTGCACCGTCCCAACCTCGTGCCGGGCAGGCGGGCTGCAGTGCTCTGGCCTGGCTGCAAGGCCACACCAGCTCTAGGCACTGGTATTGAACCTGATGGAAGTGAGCATGGCTGCTCCCTTGGCAGCATGGGCTAAGGACAGGGGAGAGGGCACCAGGCCTGGCAGGTGCCTGGCATCACCCTGTGGCAATGGGTGCTGGAAGGGGTCAGCAAGGCAAAGTAACAGTCACAGTTCATTGTGCAGCGGCTGGCACTGAGGGTTCAGTTTCTCCTCCAGGACAGCATCAGGGGCACACACCCACGGGTCACTGGTGTCCCACTGCCACTTCAAGAGCTGTGTGCGAAGCAGCTCAAAGACTGCGGCATAGCGGGGGTCAGGGGCCAGATTCTGGCTCTCGGTGGGGTCACGGCTGCAGTCAAACAGCTCCCAGCGGTCCCTGTAATAATACTTGTGCAAGCTCTTGTTCCAGTGGGTTGGCTGCCCAGCTCTGGTCCGGTTGAGCAGGTCTTGGAAAGTAGGCGAGATGTAGAAGTCCTGGTCAATGGGAAAGGGCATCCTGTAGTTGAGGTTGTGAATGAGGCGGAATTGCTGATGCTGGATGGCCCGCATGGGATAGTACATGGTCACCTCGTGGTGGCTCTGGCTGCTGAAGGCTGTGGCCCAGGACTGCTCCAGCTCCAGTGCTGGCAGGAGAGATTTTCCAGTAAGCTGCACCCGCTTTCTGCCAAAGATGCTGTAAGTAGGGTAGGAGATGGAGAACCAGTCCAAAATGGTCGGCGTGAGATCTGGAGGAAGAGAAGGGTGAGAGGGGGCTGGCATTCGCAGAAGGAAGCTCAACCCGAAGGAGGTGGAGAAAGGTCCCTGGGATCTGCTATTGCATGGGCTGCAGGTGGCCCGTGTTCCTCCCCTCCTGTTGGGGCAATTTGGGTTGTAGGGAGAGGACCGTGGGTTTTAGCATGGGGAAGGTGGGGGAACAGACTGTGACCCTCAGGCACAGCTCTGCACATCTCTGCTCTCTCCTGGAGAGCACAAGCTCTTACCCAGGAGGCTGGCAAAGGCCTGGCTGACCTGCCCCCAGCGCCCAGTGTGCTCAGGGGACGAGATCAGCAGGGGCTCAGCGGTGCCCGAGTGGTAGAGGTTGGTCCTGCCACTGGGGAAGGGGATGCCGTTGTCAGAGGTGTAGATCACCAACGTGCTGTTGTGGAAGCCAGCACGCTGCAGTTCCTCCAGGACCAGCCCAATGCCTGCACAGAGAGGAGCAGAGTTGAGCCGGTGTGGGAGAGACCTCAGTGTGCACAGGTGTCAGCCCGGACCCAGCGTCCCCCTTCCCCGGCTGCTCCCCACCTTGGTCCATGCGGCCGATGGTTGTGTACTGGGCTGCCAAGTCTGCCCGGGCAGCTGGAGTATCTGGAACAAAGTGAGGGACCTAAACGACACAAGAAAAGAGACATGTGGCAGCCCTGTGGGAACCGCTGGGAAGGGGGTCACAGATACGCCGGGCTGGGCTTCGCCAGCCTTCGCCCTGTAATGCTTGCTGCAGTGAGGAGGGCTAGTGCCAGCCCATGTCCTCCTCTGCTCCGATGGAGGCAGCTCTCACGTGTCACAGCCCCCACACGTCCCTACGGGGTCCCACCTGTACTTCCTCCGGGCTGTAGAGCTGTGGCTTCCAGTCAGGGATCCAGCCCATGCCGCTCTCTCCATTGCCAAATTTCTCGCAAAAGGCCCCATATTGGGGCTGGGAGTGCCCACAGCGATGGGGGTCATGGAAGGCGACGTAGAGGAAGAAAGGCCTAGAAATAGAAAGCGGGGAGGCTGACAGCATGGCGTGGAGGTGGGCATGGTGAGGGAAAGGGCTGCCCAAGCACCCGGACCTTCTCTGGGGTGCAAAGGGATTCAGTGTCCATGTGGACGCTACCCAAAGCCATCGCAGGACTCCCATCAAATCTGGGGTTCTGACTGTGGGGAGACCCAGAAAGAAGAGGTCCTTTCCTCTTTGTGACCAGCTGTGACATGAAGATGTGTCTTCAGCAAAGCTAATTTCCCTGCCACCCAAGAGCTCATGTTCCCTAGTCGGAGACCTTCACCTCTCCCATACCCCACTTGCAGGGTGCTCCAAGGGCATGAGGCAATGCAGGGGGATGTACGGTCCGTCTCACCTCTCATCCTGGCTCTGGAGGAACTTCCGGACAAGAACTTTGATTCGAGTGATGTTTCTCCCAACCTGCAAAACTGAACTGTTCTCCTCTGTGTACGCAAAGTCAAAGGGGTAGACAGCCTCTGGGCCAACATGCTTCTTCCCAATTATCCCTGCAAAGGGCACAGACGCACAGTGTCAGGAGAAAAGAGGTGAGCATGGAGTGGAGCACTGGTTGCTGCTTTTAATCTCCCTTTTCCCTGGGGACTGATGCATCATCTGCTCTAGCACTGGCTGCACACAGGAAATGCTGATGAGCGCGGAAGATGCTTTTGGCAGAGTGGAAGATGCTGTCTTCCACTGGATGACACTGGCGTTTCACTGGATGTTGCTGGCATGCATCTGAGCAGAAACCAGGACCTACGCTGGGACCACTGCCTCAAATTGCAGGTGGGAGTAAGTGCTAGGAGAGCTAAGCAGCCCAAGAAGGAGGTTTGGGTCAAGCAAGAGCCCTGTGTGAACCTGGGAAATGGGAAGGAGAAGGACTCAGAACAAGGGCAGAGGCACAAAGGGAAGGGGAAGCAGCAGAGGGGGAAGTGAAATGAAACTCGTGTCATCCCAGAATATGGGCATGTATCTAGTTAGTGGTGTCTAACTCACAGGTCAGTTAGTTGCCAAGCTCTCCTGCCTCATAGGGTTTGATGCGTGGAGGAGAAGGGTTTGCCTGCCTGTTTCACTTGCCCTGGACTCTCTCTACCTGTCCGGATGTGTGCTTGGCTGAGCAGCAGGGGCAGGCTCTGCACACTGTCAAAGGAGTTGAAATGGTGCACGTCCTGGTGCAGCCCGTACATCCCATTCTGGTGCTGCAAACGGGGGAGACAGAAAGGTTGGGTGATGCCTGCCAGCCTGGCCCCAAAACCAGCCCAACTCTGCCAGTGTACAGGGTGGCACAAAGCATGCGTGCTGTGGCTGCAATGCCAGGCAGCAGCTTGGGAGGCAGGTCCCAGAGGGGAGGGCAGGGGGCTGGGTGTGGGAGAACAGGGAACGTGCAGGGATCACCAGGTCCTGCGCGTGTGCCGCAAGGACGCAGGCTCTGCGGTGGCCCTTGCCCACCCCGCGCGTCCAGGTGGCCCTACCTGGGGTAAGCCGGTCAGGATGCTGGCCCGGCTGGGGGAGCAGCTGCTGACGGAGGTGAAGGCGTTCTGGAAGACAACACTGCGCCGGGCCAGCGCGTCCAGGTTGGGGGTCTGGATGGCTGAATTGTTGTACGCACCGCTCTCAACGCCA